AAAAAAACTAGTCATCATCCTCTTCCTCATCATTGCCATCATGCATAGCCCCGCTCCCACTGGCTCCCCCTTTCCTTGCGCTTATCCTCTCCTCCTAACTCGGAACTTACGGAAATTGTCCCCATCTACATGTTGAATATGGAAATGTTCAGATATTTGGATGAAAGATTGGTTTCTAAAATTTGAACTCCGACCCAAATCATCGAAATATCTCCTCCCTTCCTCATTTAACCACTCCGGGGAAACATTTTCCTCGAACGGAATAACCGGTGGATCATGGTGTGGTTGCTCGCGTCTTGGTCGAACCCTCCGTGCCGGTGCCTCAGGCCTTATCACGACATCGTCATTGGGAATAGCATAATGTCCCCCTCCATAATCCTCAATAATTCTAGCCCTACGAAAAAGAATAGGATTAAAGGGAGGGTTCGGAATCATCGTCATCAAATTCCAAGCACCACGAGTCATCAACCCATAAGAGTGGGCTAAACGCATCACAAACATACCCCCATTAATTTTTGAGATTTTTCGGTCCTTGACCGCCCCTTCAGCCAAGTATGAAGCCAAGCACCATGGTATGTAGCAAAAAGTGTTGGGTGTAATGATGCTCCAAAGATAAAAGACATCAAGGTTAGAAACCATGTCATCATCCTTTTGTTGGTTGATAGTGTTGGAGATAAGGCGGTGAATAAGGCGGTGAGTGGGTGATCGTATGCTTCCCTCTCAAGTTGATTTGGGAATGTAAAGTTTGTTGGCAATGGTGTTCCACAACCTCATTCTTGTGACACCATCCGGGAATACCTTATGGCAATGCTCCAAAAAATTACCAAATACAGCCGTGTGAGTCAAGTTTTGGTCATAAATTCCCAACCTCCAAGCTAATTCAACCATAGAACATTGGCAAACCTCACCCCCAAGACAAAAATTAATGTTCTCGGGGCTATAATAATCATCCCCACCCCGAAAATGTATTGTGGAGAAAAATTCCAAGCACAATTCTCGATAGGCCGGCTCCCGGATATGAAACAAACGACTCCTACCGTCACATGTGATCGACACCCCATCATGAGTAAATTCCTTTACAAGGTATGGTGCCAACTCCTCTTCATATCGGACGTTCTGTAGCCATTCTGAGTCAATCGTATTGGGAACACAAATCTCCTTTTTTCCGGATTTCTTCAAGTTTGTTCTTCCACCTAGTCATCGTGGATTGCGATTCGATTCGTGGAAAGTTCAACCAAGGGAAATCTTCTTGGCTTCCTTGTGAGCTTCGACCCCGTGAAAACATGTTCTTGCATAACTAAGTACCCAAACAAACAGAAACGAGCAAAATAGTTAGGAATTAAAATCGAGACTGCTTCAGACATGACTCACCGAGTCCAAACCCGACTCGTCGAGTCTGATGAACTGCGCGAGTCTTCAAACGAGTCTGTCAAACGCACCCATAAAAATAAAAATTTCTCGCAAGGGTTTGTCTATGGATGTATATAGATTATAGTAGTATAAGAAAACTCATTCACAATACTCTAATTAAATCAAAATCTAAACTCTAGAAATTCTAAATCTTCAAAAACAGGTTTTCTACCAAATTAACACTTCCGTTCATCCAAAAATAATGACTTTAACAGCAATCAAGAAGAAAGTAAGTACCTTGCTTGATGAAATTCGAAAAATAAGGAGAAAATTGGAAGAAATTGACAAATGCTTGAGAGAGAAAAAGGGCACGGCGAGTATGTCGGTTGAGATGAGTTCTAAATTAAGGTTAAAACCCTAATTTTACTAGATGTAAAAATATTTATTTATTTATTATTTTTTCAATAAATAAAGCCGACTCCTCGAGTCGGGGTCAGACTCGGCGAGTCTTGTCGCGAATGAAGGTTATCCGGATTGTGCGTAGACTCGTCGAGTTATGGTACCAACTCACCGAGTCACTTGCAATCTTTATATATATATATATATATATATATATATATATATATATATATATATATATATATATATATATATATATATAGGTTCAGGTTCATTTGAGACCATTCTAATTTTGTGAGACCGTGAGACCAAATCTAAAAATAATTTTAAAATTCAAAATAAATAGAAAAATCCAAAAATTCTTTTTTTAAATATTATTTTCGGAACTTGAACTAACTAAAAAAAATATAAAAATAAAAATAAAAAAATTTCGTTTTTTTTTTGAAAAATACGTGAAATATTCTAAATAGAATATTATACTGACATATTTTAAAAAATAATTCTAAAATACAAAATAAATGGAAAAATCTAAAAATTCTTTTTTTAAATATTATTTTCGGACCTTGAATTAACTAAAAAAATAAAAAAAGAATAAAAAAAAAATTCTATCTTTTTTAAAAATACGTAAAATATTCTAAATAGAATATTACACTATACATATTCTAAAAATAATTTTAAAATGCAAAATAAATAGAAAAATAAAAAAAAATTTAATATTATTTTCGGAACATATATTAACTAAAAAAAATAAAAAATAAATAATAAAAATAAATAAAAAAAATACGTCTCACGGTCTCAGAAAATATAGGTGGTCTCAAATGAACCTAACCCTATATATATATATATATATATATATATATATATATATATATATATATATATATATATATATATATATACCCTTAAGGGTATATAAGGTTAGGTACCAAATGCTTAAAACTACGTAGTTTTAATTGGTGGTTTAATTTTATTGAAAAAAAAATAACTATTTCCTTAAACACTATTGTTTCCTTATGGAAAAAAAAAAATAACAACTAAAGTCGATCCCTATTGCTTCCATAATCGCCTATTACGTTTAGACGGTTGTGAATTTTTTTCCCATAGGGTGCCGTCATAACTTTAGGATTTGAATAGTATTTTATTGTTTTATTTTTTCTCCCATGTGATGTATGCATATTAGGTTATATATAGCCTTTATTAAGATGAATACAAAGTAATGGAGTCTTTTGTTATCACTTTTCACAGTTAACTCATTTGTGGATAAAAGTTGTTTCTCTTTTTTTTCTCTGTGAAGTCGTATTTGAGAAGCACATCAACACAATTTATTTAATTTTGGTCCTTTTTGCTCTACAAATGCTTGATCGATTCTTGCTTCATCTTTTTTTTGATTTCCTTTTTTTAAAACTAGAGTTTGATGTAGTCAAACAGCCAATGATTGAGGTCCATGTGGGTGAGAAAATCAGAAAAATACATAATTAAGAAGCATCAATAATCACACAAATCATAAACAATCAACAAATTTCATGAAAACATTAAAATTGTTAAGAAGCATCAATAACTTCCAGATTACTCATACATTGTTTGTGTCTAAAACATGAAAAAGGTTCAGTTAACCAAAAAAAATGTTATGAAGTATCTAGTTTTTCTTTTGCCCACAGAAACAACACATCTCATCATTATGTTTCTTGCAACGATTCATCTGCCTGATATATGAAAAAAAATAAAAAATTGTTAATATAATCATTAGAGTTCTTAATCATGAAAATTAAATTATTATTATAGTTACCTTTCTTTTTGAACAACTAGTAGCATAATGACCCAATCCTTGACAGTAAGAGCTTGTTCGTTTTTTAGGGGTTGCTAAAGAAGACTTGATTATACTTGCAAGTTTAGGACACCATTTTGTAGTAGTTGGACCAAGAGGATCCCAGATAGATAAGTGTGGCATCATATCTACTTGCGAAACTCCCATACAAGAACTTTGAGATGCCTTCTCTAAAGGCATTGATTTTTTTCGATTGACTTGATCATCTAAAAGACTTATCAATATCGTATTGAGTTTTTGTATCTTCGAAGGGGAGTCCCTTGCTTGTTTAATTAGTTTAGTAAAATTCAAACGAACACAAAATAATGTGTAGGCACTAACTCCATTTTCATTATTTATTTCTCCGAGTCCGATACTAACACTACCCAGTTTGTACCTAGCTTCAAGGGTCCATCGCGGTAAAATATAGTGACTCGGCAGTTCTTGAACATGCTTCTTCTTCATCACATATAAGCTATGTTTGCATAAAATCCCATTTGTCTCATACATACAACACAAACATGTGACGCTGACTTGATTTAAAGAAGGAAAGGTAACAATACGCCAATATTTTTAATGAAAATCCAATTGCCCAACTCTATATGTGCTTTCTTCTGTAGTTTTTGTTAGAGTCTCATGAGTCAAATTGGTAATAGCTTTGGTCCATTCTTTTTTGAAAGTATCAAAAATCTTTCTAGTATAACATTGACCTGCTTTTGCTTCGATTGGATGCACTGAAGAAAGAACCGGCCTCGAGTTCATAGTCTTGAAGTCTTCATCTTCCATCCCTTCGTGACTCAACTGCCTTGTCGTATTGCACAACGAGTTCATTCAACATGGTCCTCGAGTTAACAAAACCATCAAAAAATGAATTGATACTTTCACTCCGCCCGGTTGTGGTCATACCAACAAAGAAAATACCCTTCAAGAAGGGTTTAGCCCAATGTATACGTTGGTTATACATGTCACTAATCCAACAATTGCTTTCCAGTTCATACTTAATACACATATCTTCCCATATTGCTTTAAATCGTTCAATGTTGTCACTATTTACCCATTGTGTGTGTGTTTCTTGAAAATCACTGTAACAGGAAACATACGATCGAAGGTGCTTAGTTTCATGCTTCCTGATATGCCATGAACAAAAACGATGTCGACTCTTTGGAAACACTTTTTTTATTGCATTGCCCATAGCTTTGTCTTGATCGGTAATAATTGTCTTTGGCTACTTGCCAAACATACATTTGAGGAAACGTTCAAATAAACATTCAAATGTCTCTTCCTTTTCGTTTTTAAGCAATGCTCCACCAAAAAGTATAGATTATCCATGATGATTCACCCCAGTAAAAGGAGCATAAGGCATCTTGAATTTGTTAGCCATATAAGTGACATCAAACACAATAACATCTTTGAATTTTGTATAGGCATCTTTTGATCTACCATCAGCTCAAAAGATATTTCTAGGATACCCATCATCAGGCAATTCCACGGAAAAATATTGGTCACTGTCAACTAACGTTTTATCTTGAAAATGTTTTATAAGTCCATAGAAATACTTTCCTCTATGTTGTTTTCGATGCTCAGATAAGACATCAGCACATTGCTTTGAAGTTACATTAGCTACATTTGAGGTTTTTATTGTATTAACAGCCTTTTTTATTTGAGAAAGTTTCAACCCTGCTTGACCAAATTGCACCATAAGAGATTTACCTTCTATTGAACGGTGGAAATTGCTATGAGATCGATGCTTCATCACCTTCGTAGGTGTCATGGTCAAGTTGTGATTGTGTGTGTCCTTAAACGAGTCCACCAATCACTTCCCATCCTCCTGTCTATTTATTCAAAGTTTTTCTTGGCATCCTGTTCTAACATCTCTACGACGTTTTTTCTCATTTGCACTTGAAGCATTTTTGTCCATCTTTCTTTGTTGCATACATATATCTTCCGAAAAGGCTCATTTGTTTTAGGATTTTTAACTGCGTCATCTCTACGTATTCCAAAGCCATGCAAAAAAATAATAATTATAAAATGTATAGGCATCATCGGGTGTATCAAAAACTTTTCCCAGTATCCTTTCATCATTAACATCATCTTCGTCAAATTCAATGTTCACTCTGAAATCATAAGTTCTTCAGATTCATATGTTGCTTCTACAAAATCATTTGTATCAACATTTTCATTTATATACGGTTCTATAGCCTGATCAACAACTTCTGTTTCAAACATCATAACCTACACAAAACCACACGTAAAATACAATAAGAACTTGACCGTATTAATGCCATTCCAGTATCTTTTTAGAGATGGTCTAAATTTTAGAGATGGTCTAAATTTTCATTATATCAAAAGCAATAAATTATACTAAATTTGATCAAACAAAAGCAGCATGGATAATAATAGAACATATGAAATAAAAATTTCCGTTGATAAACAATCGGAACTATGAAACATATGCAAAATTAATACTTAAAAATGAAATCAATGGTGAATTGTGAATTGCTTTGCCTATGAATTTGAACGAGAAAATTAACACCAAAATTTTTCGAGTAATTTGATACACCAAAAAATTAACACCAAATTTTATCTATAAATTGATTTGCCTATGAATTTCGATTTCTTTGTAATCGTATTAGAAGAATCTGAAATTTTACATTAAATAGTTAAATACCATCATCACAATAACAATATAAAATTTTTATATAAACTGGTTAAAGATTTAGAAGGGAGTAAATTACATAATTTATGACTAAATCCTTTTGATAATGATTTATGTAACTAATAAAAGAATAAAAAAACACCTGCAATATATATATATATATATATATATATATATATATATATATATATATATATATATATATATATATATATATATATATATATATTTTGGATGAACCATGCGAGAGAATTTAAGAATACTATATTCAAGAACTTAAATACTCAAATTGATAACAATAACTAATTAACAATTAATTGAATTTTATAATAAAGAAAAAGATAATGAAAGAAGTAGAACGACCCTGTGATGCAAGAATGACGATAACCTATGGGAAAAAAATTCACAACTGGCTAAAGGTAATAGGCGATTATGGAAGCAATAGGGATCGACTTTAGTTGTTATTTTTTTTTTTCAATAAGGAAACAATAGTGTTTAAGGAAATTATTATTTTTTTTCAATAAAATTAAACCACCAATCAAAATTATGTAGTTTTAAGCATTGGGTACCTAATGTTATATACCCTTAAGGTATATTCACTTTTCCCATATATATATATATATATATATATATATATATATATATATATATATATATATATATATATATATATATATATATATATATATATATATATGATAGAAGTATACAATCAACAAGATTAACAGAAATAAAACAAACGAAATTGAAATATGTATATGAAATATACAAGAATCAGTTTGCAGAAAACATACTTGATGGTTTATGCTTACAACAGAAACACAAAAACGAAATTATGTAGATTGAGGCCTGCAAATTGCAGTGTCCTAAGACAGAAATTTCCCTGGTGGGGATCTGTCTAGAGGATACAACAATCAATCAAGAACTTCTCTTGATTCTGACGAAATTCCTATGTTCCCTTCATCTTTTGGAAGAACGAATTTTTAAAGAGAATTCTGTGGTGTGAATGATGATTTCTGCAACCCCTTTCAGATGAATGAAACAGGTATTTATAGGTATTAGTTATGACAGTTGGAAACTGTCAAAACCGAAAATAACTGTTAAAAACCTGTCATTCAGTAATTACGAATTTAATAAAAAAAAATAAAAATTAATTTCGTAATTAAAAATTATCTAATTAATCAGGAAGACCCCAAGGCCCAAGGCCCATCTTTTGACCATTAAATATTCTCTTGATATTAGCCCATTTTAAGTCCAATTAGGCTAATCCAACACCACAACCCAAGCCCAATATGCTTAACCCATTACTTGACCCATTTAGTTAAATGAGTGGGACTAGACATATAAGGTGGGAGAAGGTTTTCTCTTCCACCAATGTGGGATAAGTCCCACATTGTAATTTTGTAGTCAAAGTTCCAACAATACCCCACATTTTCTATTCAAACTCCAATAATACCCCACATTTGAATAGAAAATAAGTGAACTTTGATATTCAAATAAGGGAAGTAAGATATGACATGCATCTGAATAGGTGTTGTAAAACTTGAACCTTTCATAGTGAGTACTACTTGGATCTACTTTGTGGGTAGTGAACTAGAGTCTTGAACTAACCACTTTTTATAGTAGAATAAAAAACAAGAAGTATCACACATATCATATCTAAGCATAGATCATTTCTTACCGTTGTGTTCATTTCGGTCATGAACGATCCTTTCTTCATGAGACTTTTAGAGAGCTTTAGCCATATCAGCTCCCAAAGATGCGACCTCACATCCATCTCACATAGGTAATGCTAATCTGGAATAATCCGTACTTATTCCACTGTAGAAGCTATCAGCATTATTAAGAATAAAGCATTCATCCCTATAACATCAACGGAAAAACACAAAACAAATATCATGGGAGTGAGCATACCTTTGTGTTAGTGCTTCTTTGAGTCTTCCCCAACTAGTTGTCCTATTGAACCTAGACCATGGGATCTCCAATGTTGCTAGGTTAGGTTTCCGCCAGGTGGTGACTCATTGTGTTGGCTTTAAGCCCATTCCCCTCGATGTGAAGAGAACTTGCTCTCTACTCAGGCCTTTTGTCAAGGGATCAGCTATATTTTCCTTTGACTTTATGTAACTAATGGAAATGATTCCATTCTTCAGCAAGTCTCGTATTGTAATATGTCTGCGCCTAATGTGTCTCGACTTGCCATTGTATATCTGACTTTGTGCTCTAGTAAGAGCAGCCATACTATCACAATGTATGCCAATGGCAGTAACAGGTTGAGGCCACAGAGGAATACCTTCTAGGAAGCTTTTAAGCCATTCAGCTTCTTCAGCAGCTTTATCTAAAGCAACAAACTCTGCTTCCATTGTAGAACGAGTATTCACAGTTTGCTTAGATGATTTCCAAGAGATAGCAGCTCCACCAAGAGTGAACACATATCCACTTGTGGATTTTGCCTCAGAAGTATTGGAAATCCAATTTGCATCACAATACCCTTCAAGAACAGGAGGATATTTCGTGTAATGCAGTCCATAGTTCATTGTATGCTTTAAATATCTAAGCACTCTTACTAATGCATACCAATGATCTTTCCCAGGATTGTGGGAGTAACGACTCAATCTACTTACACTATAAGCCAAGTCCGGTCTAGTACAATTCATAATATACATCAAGCTGCCGAGAACTTGAGTATATTCTAACTGAGCTACAGTATCACCTTTATTCTTCTTTAGATGACTAGAAGCATCAAATGGGGTGACAACCGGCTTGTCATCATAGTGTCCAAACTTCTTGAGTACACTTTCAATATAATGGGACTGAGTAAGAGTATATCCATCTGGTCTTCTTTGAACTCTTACACCAAGGATCACATCTACTACTCCCAAGTCTTTCATGGAAAAGGAGGAGTGTAGCATTTTCTTGGTTTGATTGATCACATCCAGATTAGTACCCATTATAAGCATATCATCCACATACAAGCATATGATGACATAAGCATTCTTGTATTGTTTGACATAAACACATTTATCACATTCATTTATTCTAAATCCATTAGAGAGTAATGTGTTGTCAAACTTCTCGTGCCATTGCTTTGGAGCCTGTTTTAGTCCATAAAGTGATCTAACTAACTTACAGACTTTGTTTTCTTGACCTTTAACCACAAACCCTTCAGGTTGATTCATATATATCTCTTCATCTAGTTCACCATACAAGAAGGCAGTTTTCACATCCATTTGGTGTATTTCCAAATTATGAATGGCTGCAATTGCTACTAATGTGCGAATTGATGTAATTCTTGTAACAGGTGAATAGGTGTCAAAGAAGTCTTGACCCTCTTTTTGACGATACCCTTTAGCTACTAAACGAGCTTTGTACTTCTCTATGGTACCATCAGGTCTAAACTTCTTCTTGAATATCCATTTGTGCCCAATTGGTTTTTGCCCATGTGGCAAATCCACCAATTTCCAAGTGTTATTTTGCACAATGGAGTCAATCTCACTTTTGATTGCCTCTTTCCAGTAAGGAGCTTCAGAGGAGTCCATAGCTTCCTTATATGTTTGTGGTTCCTTATTCACTACATAGGTCATGTAATCAGGTCCAAAATCTTTGGCTATTTTGCCCCGTTTGCTTCTTCTAGGTTCTAAGTTGTCTTCTTGAACCTTTGAAGAATTCTCTTCATTTGATTGTAAACTTTTGTCTGGAATCGTATCATTCAGTCCATCATCTAGAGGTCTTTTCCTAGAGTAGGTAACCTCTTTTCCTTTATCCTTAAAAGGAAAAGTATTTTCAAAGAATTCAGCCTCTGCTGATTCCATGATGGTTTGGTTATGGATCTCATCAACATGTGATTTATACACAAGAAACCTGTATGCTGCACTATTCATGGCAGGGCCAAGATAGATGCAATCTATGGTTTTTGGTCCAAGTTTAGTCCTCTTAGGAAGAGGTACTTGTACCTTAGCAAGGCAACCCCACACTTTCATCCTTTTATAAGAGGGTAACCTCCCTTTCCATAGATGATATGGTGATTTATCACTCTTTTTATGAGGAATTCTATTAAGTATTGTATTTGCTGCAAGACATGCTTCTCCCCACAGATTATGTGGTGCTCCAGAAGTAAT